TCATTCCCTTATTAGATTTTGTAGTACAAATCTATTAAATGGTTTTTCTATAAAATTCAGCAGATCAAAACGAAAGAAAATGATGAATTTCTTCATTTTCAATTGTATTTTTCGATATTTGACTGATATTAAACGAACTTCGGACTGTATAACAAGAAAGATCACACTTCAATGTACTCAAAAATCTTTTTACTTTTGTTTCGTCGCCTATCGAATCGTCTTAAACACTCTAAAGTTCACAAAACCAAATAGCGTAGAGTGTTGATTAATCTATTTCTACGTGTTCAGTATTCTTGATTTGATTTCTCTTCTTAAATTTCTACAGAAATAAATCTAAATAAGTCTGCATAGAAAATTTCACGATTCATCTTCTGAAAAAACAATCAGATCTAACAGTTAACAAGAAAAAAGTTTTAATCAAAACTCTGAGACATTCATTATTTATGGGCTAACTGATAATATAAAAAAGATTTAAAAAAAAATTTTTATTTCATAGCATCAACCAAATTTAGAAGCATTAACTACTTATAATAGTTGGTCATCTGTAAATCCTTCATCAACAATCAATTATTTATTAAATTTTCTTTTACCACTCTTATTATGGATGAGTAGTGAACGAAAAGATGCACCAAAAATTCATTCAAGTGATATTTCATTTATTATTACAATACTTCTCAATTCAGTGAAATCACCATTAAAACTTGCAACTACTATGGGTACACAAAATATATCATTAGGACATTTAACTAATAGTGGAAAGCAATATTTAACTTCAGGAGAACCTATTATACCTAATATTAATTATACACACAAATCAATGAAACAATTAAAATATCTTTTACAAACAGCATCCTTATTAGGTATTTACTTTTTTGAAAATTTTGAAAAGAAATGTTCATTATTTATATGTTTTTTAGGTTTAAAAATATTAATCATTAGTTTTAGTAAACAAACGAGATATGAATGGCAACGAATAATACGAGCAATAAAATTGATGTGTAATAAACAATCAAATATTTCATCAAGTCTTTTATTATTTATTGATTTTATTGTTTCTTATAAAACACCAATTTATGTCATTATTCGACCATTTCTTTTACATTATGTATTATAAAAAACATTTTTTTGAATTTAATAATTATTTTATGTTCTCCTTTTATTTTCTATAGATACATTCGATTACATCAGAAAATGATTGTGATTATGAAATGATTAGAAATATTCAACAAAAACTTTTTTTCGACAAAATAGAAACATCAAAATCAATGAGTGAAATTTTAAATGAACTTACACAAGAATTAAATCAACTAAAAGCAGAGTTAACAGGTTATATTTGTTTTCTAATCAAGTCTAAAAGAATTTTCTCTATGATGCTGAAAAAATATCAATGATTAATTTTGTTCATGTAGCGATAACGGCCCATAATGGGTATTTCATAAGTTGAGTCTCTGAAGAAAAATTAGTTTATATATAAATAAGAAATAGTAGTCACACAATAATATCTATATGAGCTTCAAATGCTCAGACAAATATTTTAAAAAGACATACGATTGCTTAAGATTATAATAATAAGATAAATATAAGAGATGTTGTCGTCAATGATGAAAAATAGATCAACATTCTGCTTTTAAGAATTTATACAATTATAAGTAATATATTTAATATAAATTGATTGAATAATAGAAATCGATATATCACTATTATAATTGTATATTTAAAAGCTATTGAACCAATCATTTATTTTATACTCCAAATAAACTATCAAAAATGAACAAAAACATGGTTATTAGCGATGGCATCGATTCAGTTAGAACTTTAAAAAAAAAAGATCGGTTCGATTTGGTTCTGAAAAAATACGTAATCCCATTTCTGATAGCTATAAAGGAAAAGTCAAACCAGAATATGTTTGATCGGTTGTGAGCCCGATTCACCGACAGTTCCACAAGTGACACTACTGCGCCTGCACTTACACACAAAATATTTTTTTCTGCTCTGATTATATTAACTTGAGTGTGTGGGTGTGATTGTGTACCAGCGTTTCTTCTTCACTTAAATGGCCACAGTAACATCAACACTCGCACCCTCAAATGATCATCTTATTAGGAGAAGCAAGATATCATATTTTGAAATAAAGTTATTATTAGCAGATATGTCCCATCAATTATGTTTATTGTTTTGTATAGATCTTAGT